ACAACGTCTCAGCGTTTTGGCTTCAATTGAACAAAAAAAATAATTATGGGAATAGAGATATGAACTAGATACACTAAACTCTCGCTTAACGGTCACCTTTCTCTTTACCGTGACAGCCTCTATACTGTGACGACGTTTTTAAAACTAAAAAATCAGTCATAGGATACTCAGATAGTAAATGTTCGTGTTAGGTGTTTTAATATCCTATAACAGTACTCAGTACTTCTTACAACCTATCAATTCAGCGCGGGATAGTTGTAGTACCCCGATACTTTCGGAACTATTATGGTGTACAAGCCACCTATCAAATATCAAAGCTAAATATTTATAAACTGTAAACTAATAGGGAAATGTAGATCTATTTTTTCTAGTGTTTCCATATCTACCATCGTGCACTTGGCAATGTCCTGTTCATTTTATATTAAAAAGTATGTTTTTGTTTGTAATCGACAGTTTTATGTTAGCCAGTAATAAAGTTAATAAAAAGTTTAATATCAAAGAACCCGGCACGCCTCTTGGGTGTGTATTAGATTTTCACAAGAGAACCTTAACCCAAATAGTGGTATTTGAAATGCATCAGTTCAATTTTGGGATATTTATCTTTTGGGGATGATACTGAACTGATTGGGATGTAATGTTGTAGTCAGGATCGGTTCAGCGTAAAAAATTTTGTTTATTTTACGGGTGTAAAACAATTTACAGCAATAAATTTTGCATTCTGAACATCTCGTATATGTAAACTGAAATTAATTTTATGCTGTAAGTATTCTCGACAGCTAATGTCAGCAATAATCCAATCTTTAGGTGGATATAGCTGTTTGACCACCTAATTTATAGCTTATCATTGACTTCGTATCTACTGGCATCATGTAAAATAATCGGTTGTCGTAATAATAGGCCAATTACATCGAGTTATGCTGGATTCGTGGAATAACACTATGACGTGTTGTATTGGTAAGCATATAGAGGAGCATAAGTACAAGCTCAGTGTGTAGTTAAATTAAAGTACCAATTAAGTTATGTGATGCCCCCAGATGTGGGAAATTTTTTAGGAAGTTGACTACTTCAACAATAGTATGTAGGTTAGAAAGACATGCAGGTAGCAAGAGGCCATACCATACATTCATAAGCATGAGTAGCACTGGTGATTAAAAAAAATGGGTATCAGTGTACATGACGGCAATCTAACCAAAAAATATGATGTAGGAAAAAGAAGCGAATATTATGTTAGAAGAAACTAGAATAGCTATAAAAATAGCATAAAAATATAAAAGTCTAGTCATGTATTGATAGTGGAACAAGGTATAAACAACCTGAAATATTTCTGAAAAATCTAAGTTCAGACTCAATGCAATTAACAATAAACACAAACTTGTTTACAATGCTTAATTTAATGATACCTATTAATTTCAAAATACTACTATGTCAAACTGTCAACAACATCTGTTTATACAGTGTGTTCCAACGAAAATTTGACCCCGTAGAAATTCAGAAACCAAGAGTTTCTTCAAAATTTAAATAACACGTCAATTTGTATTGGAAGGGGGACGTATTTTCATGCAAAATTTATGCCCTCAAATGTAACCACCTACTGCTCCACATCAACCCCCAGTTTTTTTAATAGCAAGCGTAGTTGAGTGACACATCGTTTGAAAGGTATTTTCACACAAATACATCATTTTTTTTTAATTAACGACATAACTTTAAAGATTATTTTGGATTTAATTAATTTATTGGTTGAACATCAGTAATAACAAAAAACATAAAATTTCATTAAATTAACCAATGGAATGTTCGAATTGACCTCCTGTGATCTCCATACAATAATACAGTCTATTTTCAAAGCCTCTTTGTACATTTGCAAATACCTCCAGTGTCAATAATCGACACTCTGTCACAATTCTTTATCGCAAGTCTCCAAGATCTGCAGGCGGAGTGGCGTATATTTTTGATTTTAGATAGCCTCACAAAAAAAAATTCAATGGCGAAAGATACGATGATCTTGCCGGGCCACTCTATTGAACCCTTTCTGCCAATTCAATTTCCTGGAAAACGTTAATTCAAAAATTGTCTTACGTGTATTATCATAATGTGGGGGTTCCCCGTCCTGTTAAAAAGTCAGTTCATCCTCTAAAAGATTATTATCAGATTGAAGTAATCATGGAATTCGATTGTAAACATGCATATTTATCCCCTGTAAAACTTTAGTAACTTTCAAATGCTTAACCAGCTAAATATTATAACAACAACAGTTTAACTATTTTACGTTTTTGTACATAAGTTCCGCGCAAAACTGTTGTAATTCTAATGTAATTAGAAACGAGTTCTCAGGGAAGAAGTACGAGTAAGTACATTTTAGTAGTATAGTTTTTAATGTAATCTGTTATTAGCCCTTGCAAGTGATAGATGCAGAATTAACGATTTCTGTGCGCAGACAAGTGAGGATAGCAACGACATGCGTAGTAAGTTGAATTTAAATTAATTGTTGTATTATAATCTATCTACTCTTGTTTTCAAATTCAATGGTAAAAATGTCTACGACTAGTATAAACTGAACGAAATAGGGGCGTTCAAAAAAAAATACTTCTGATTCAAGCAAAATGATTAAAAGTACATAGACTACACATACTATACGAGAAGTGCTACTTAAACCTGCCTACAAAGAACAGCCAAAAATTTAAATGGCCAAAAAGAAAGATTTGGTATACTTATGCCATTCGTGTATGATACCAGAACCCCACCATAGTTTTTATAAAAATATTTTACCCCAAGATGATATACGAGAAGAGGACAACAACTAACAGAAAATATGTCTACACTTTTTACAATTTTCTCCGTGCAAAAGTGTAGTAACTTTAAAATTCTATTACTAAATGTGTAATGATTAACAATTTTCTCAGTGCAAATGTGTTTCACTTTGAAATTCCTAATTTTTTAGCATTAATATTATTTTATTCAAATTTCTATTTTTGGTTAATGTAATATAGGCTGAAAAGCATGCAAAATCATAATTAAATGTTAATTTTTCTTAGAACTTGTGTATTATTTCATCGATATTAGCACGAAAATAAACAAAATCGTCTTTATCTCAAAACTTACTTATTCTGATTTACTGCAGTCTTGCACTGAGTGTGCGATATTTTCTTCAAGAAATGATCTAATTACGTGATTCCCTAAAATGCTAACTCATACATTTAATTCCTGAGGTGTTTGTTTATGTGTCTCCATGAATAAATTCGAATTACTGTTACTCAAATAACGACAATTGTGTATATTAACTCCACCATTTAACATACAAGTACATTATTCGGAAAAACACGTATTGTACAGTCGACATTGGTTGTAATTTATGATTTCACTAAATTCTTCACAAAATTTAAGCCGACAATCAGGATCATCATCGTTTAATTGATTAAGTAATTGTATTTTATAAGAGTGAAATTTATGTAATTTTATAATTTGATAAACTTAAATGCTGATACGCCAGATGCACGAGATAGTTGTCTAATAGACTGTCGATTAACCATTTGTAAATGACCCAATACCGCCACTTCAACTGCTGCATTTCGCACTCGACGGTCTACTTCGTGCTTTGTGTTGTTAACGTCTCTTGTAGCTTCAAACTTATCAATTACTTGTTTAAAGGATTGGTGACTTACATTTTTTCTGGGTGGTTCGTATTAAAGATCCTTGCCGTGGCCTTAGCTCACTGATTATTTCCATAGTATAGCTTAACTAATTCTATTCGCTCTTTACTAGAGTATCCCATTTTTGTAAGCCTTTACAATAATATCTCTGTTTAATCAGTCGTTGACAAATATCAAACCAAAGATAACCAGGTAAACACTAAAGAAGATAACTAGGAGTCATTATTTAAAAAAAACTTCATATGAAAAAGTAATATTTTTACAAAAAGAAAAAAATTATCTTCAACACAGTGGCGTGTTGGTATCGATTTGCAGGTGGATGGAATTATTGTATTGGAGGTCACTAAGAACTTTTGATTCGTTAATTTGGTGAACTTTTATGTTTTTTTTTATTATAACTGATATTCAACAAATAATTTAGTTAAATCCAAAATTATCTTCAAAGTGATTATATAAATTAAAAAAAAAATAGAGTGTCGTGTAGAGAAAAAAATTACCTTTCAAATGAAGTGGCACTCGACCACACTTGCTATTTAAACAAAAAAACTGGGGGTTGATGCGGGCCAGTAGAGGGTTATATTTAAGGGCATGAATTTTACATGAAAATTTGTCCCTCTTCCAATACATATTCATTTGTGTTTTCTTAAATTTTGAAGAAACTCTTGATTTCTGAGTTTCCTGGAAGGTAGAATTTTCGTTGAAACACAATGTATATACCGTCTGACATTCCCATCGAGCAAAAAGACAAAAGAGGGAATGTAAAGCTAGTGGGAGCAAAAATATTGTTAGACAGGAAGTGCCATCTTGAGAGGCCACATTAAACAAGGAAAGAGAGTCTTTCCTTGTTTAAGAAATCAAATTTAGTTGGGTTATGTTATTGTTTGTCTTGTATGTATGTCACATGAAATCTTATCTATATTGCAGTTTTTAACAATTGTGTCACATTTATCGTTAATAATTAATTAAAACTTTCTCGTCTAAGACATATTTTGAAAACTATTTTATAGCTACTGTTAATAAGTGTCGAAAAATTTAAATTTGGCGCATTCACATTTCCGGATATGTCCGCCATCAGAGGCCACTTTTTTGGTCTCCTTTTCATAACGATTAGATTCCCTCTTTTGTCTTTTTTGCTCGATGGACATTCCAGACTTAACTAGACATTTCACGATTTTTCGTTGGCATCTCGAATGTTCTAGCATTTGATTACTTCTACTTTTTCGTGAAGTGACTTTTTCTCTGTGGGAAACGGAACTTTCGTAACTATATATTAACTATTTTTTAAACAAATTTTCCAATTTTCTTTTCTGTTTCATTATAATAATCTTTTAACAAAGTATCTTTTTATTCCAGGTATAGATGCTGCCAATGTAGACTTGGTTATTAATTTTGACATACCAATTGACGCTATGACTTACCTACACCGAATGGGAAGAGCAGGAAGATACGGTTCGTCTGGAGTGTGCATTAACTTATCGTCTCAAGGCACAGAATTAATACATCTACAGGAAATACTGGGACAAATCGGAGGAAATACTTTAACAATACCCAAATTACCGAAAATAAATGGTAGCATCTTAGAGTTATTGCAAGTTGAAGTTCCTTTAACTGATCATATTTCTAGCAAGGTAAAGGCTGAACGAGATGAATCTATTACGAAAACTAAAATGTATGAGAATAAAAAGGAGAGAAAACAAAAAAGTAAAAATAAAGATAACGACGATGTTAAAAGATCTAAAACTGTTGATGAGCAAGAAGTAACGTCACCAAATATTGGTCTGAGTGATATACTTCAGAATACTCAACAAGAAATTGAGGAAGTTAGAAAACAAATATCAGAAATGGACACGGAATCAATTTTGCACTCACTACTAAATCAAAATTTGAATTTAGAAGTAGGTTCAAGTAATTCTATAAAAACAAATACTAACAAGCCGTTTGACGCTCAGGCAGTCTTGGATGTGTTAAAAGAAGGTTGTACTAAACCTGCGACCAAAAGTGATAACAATTTCAAAAAAACAGTTCCTAAAGTAGATACCGAAGAAGAGCTTAAAGAAAACTTATTGACAAAAAATAAGGCACTACTGAGTACGTCACAAATAGTAAGTAACTCTAACATTTCAGAGGGACCAGTTTGTATTGAGCAGCATCTGAAAGTGCTGAATTCTCAATTTAAAAATGAAATTAGTGAGCTTTCCAAAAATAGTATATCAGATCTACTGAAGATTATTAAAACAAACGATAATCCAAATAAAAGTGGTGATAAGCCTACCCAAGACAATACTGGTTCTTTAGATAGTCCATCTTCTTCCAGAACTTGCCACGAAGAAGGAAGTGAAAGTGAAAATTTGTTTCATTTGGGATATAAGCACTTGGTTCTTTCTGATGATGGTGACTGGAGGGAGGTGTTGAAAAAGCGTTGTGCTACTGATACTTCAGCAAAAACGAATACACCAACTTCTCGCCGATCTAGTTCAGAAAGTGACCAAGAAGTGACGCATAAAAAACACGGAAAGCCACGCAGATATTCCGCAGTACACGACGAATCGTCCAGTCAGTCAGAACCGATGGTATGGTCGTCGAATCCAGAAGAAAACTCAATGCTAGAAATGGAATGTCGTCGACAGGAAGCAGCTATGAGATGGATGCCTGTAGAGGAAGAATGTTCTGAAGAAGAAAGCTTCCAAGATGCAAAAGCGATGGAACATGAAGACGATACGATGGAATGGCGTAGACAGGAAGAAGCTATGAACTGGGTAGAAGTTAAGGCCCCTCGTGTCGCACACCATGTCACCCCCACCTGCGTTTTAGAGCTACGGAAGGGTTCTGATGATTTTGAATATGGACATTACAGTAGTTATATGGAGCAACTTGATGACAAGTTGTGGCGGAATGGTTTAGAGTTTAATAACTCCGAATCGTTTAACGACTGGTTTAGTTTCGAATGGGAGTTAGAGCTACAAGCTACAAGAACTTATATAGAGCAAAATATATATGTTAGTGAGATGAATAAGTTTCAGAAATAGATTTACTATAATTGTCGGAAAAATATACTTTTTTATTACATTACCGACTGATCTGAATATTTAGTTATTTTACCTTTTTATTTGTTGTATATAAAGTGTTTATAATGTAAAGTTTTTTCTTTACAAAGTTCCAAATTATTCAAGATAACGTTCATTTTTAATGCACCTACTCAAGAGACGCTCACAGCGCCAATCACACTACAATAGGCTTATTTGGATAATAGACCAGTTAAATTAGGTTAGGTTAGACACACAACTGTATATATGAGTTTGACAGTTGCAATGTGTAGTATGATATACTACAAAAATACTCTCATCTAGAGATTCATCAAATTTTTAGTGGAACCATTTTCAAATAAATAAATCGTCAAACTCATTATTTTGTTTATAACTTAAAAAACTTCTATTTAGAGATTTAACGTCAACAGGCAACTTTTTCAGAAAGAAGATACCTACACACAATGAGATATGCTAAAGTAACCCGTAGGGCCTAACTGTATTTTCCTTCAAATTAGGCTTCAGTTTCGGCGATTACCTTCTCATCGGAGTGATATCTTTTGCCACTGAGCATTTTTTTTTTAGATCGGAAAAAGGTGGTAATCGCTGGGGGCCAGATCTGGACTACACGATGGGTATGGAAGCAATTAAAACCTAATTCGTGTATTTTAGCCACCTACACCAGAGGTGACGACAAACGAAGAAATAAATATTGAGGAGGAAGAGGTAAAGGAAGCATTAAGGAAATTAAAAGATAGAAAATCACCAGGAAAGGCCAGAATACCGAACGAACTCCTAAAGTACGGAGGACCAGATCTGACCAAACAACTATTAAAACTAATTAAAAAAATAATAGAACAAAACAGATTTCCTCAAGAATGGAGATCAATCATCCTAATATTGTCATCGCTTGCTAACTTGGCGGTGCGCACAAACCCAAAATTGCTTAGTGGCTTAGGTGGTGGTCTTTAGTCTCCTCCGAGTTATCAGGTGTGTAACACTTAAGTGATTTGCGTCTATTATTTTTCAGACTTCTTCATATTTCGGATATTTAAGTGTATTTGTGACAATTTATAACCATGGCGTTGAAAAATAGTAGAAAGAATAATTCTGATATTAGTGGACAATCTCGGGAGATTAAATTTAATGTGTTTAATTATTTCAAAAATATTAAACTCGAAGCAGAGACCCTAAAAACTGTGAAAGAAAAGACAGCTAAAGCAACAGGTAAGTTTGTACTTACAATAAATTAATTTTAATTAGACGACTTCTAAATAATAACAAAACCGCACTACGGTGGTCTATTTGGACCAAAAATAACTCTATATTTTTATTTCATTTTAATTATCTATTATTTTTAAAACACAATAGTTCTATTTCTATTTATAAGGCATTTTCTTCCCACTGGTGGAAATGTTTTGTTTGTTTATCTCTACCTTGTATTAAATAAAAATAGATCAAAAATAGGTTAATATTTCACATACTTAATAATGTTGAAAATTGACCAAATATTATCCTCGACGGGTGTAATTTCCTCAACAAAAAAATTGTTTGCCTACGTTTGGAAAAGTATGTCATAATCCCACAGGTATTTCCCTCACTATAGTCGAAGTTGTTATTTCACGTAGATTTTACTAAAAGACATTCGAGGCATTATAATATTTACTTATTTAGTGTAAAAACATGTAAAATGTAAATAATAATTTTCAAATAATACCTAGAAGTTAATGGATTTTGGGAACAGCTATGACCTTGAAAATGCCACAAAGAATATAACTAAATCTCTTTTCTTACTCAGACTCTTTAAAGTCTTTTACAATATTTTAGAATCGAAGATATATAATTATATTATTAATGTATTGGATTTTGACAAGAGCTATGCATTATGCCTATTTAGTACACAAGTTTATGTGAAACGTTCAAGGTGATAGCTGTTCCCAAAATCCATTACCTCTATCTGTGTAATTTGTTTACGATTAAAAAGACATTAATAGATTACGTCAAATCCCTATGCCTATTTACGTCAAATCCCTAAATGCCTATTTAGTACACAAGTTTATGTGAAATGTTCAAGGTGATAGCTGTTCCCAAAATCCATTACCTCTATCTGTGTAATTTGTTTACGATTAAAAAGACATTAATAGATTACGTCAAATCCAAAAAAATATTACTTGCTAATGACATTAGTATTTGTATAATACAGTTAAATAGCAAAACAGGTCAAATATTTCTCAGTATTTAAAATTTGGTATTTAAAACCCATTAAATTCATGACTTTCTCCTAATGACACCTATCTACCGAATTGAGATGTTATAATAAATTACAATAAAATAATCTCTCCGAATGCTCTCTCTGTCTGTTCTCTGCTTCGACGGCAAAGATTTCAAAACTTTTTTCTACGGTTGACAAATATCTAGTATTTCATTTTTTAATAATACTTAAATACTTAAATTAGTTAGGACTAGTGTAATATATTGTGTACCGTCTTTCGATATGGCAGTATATATAGACATTTTTATATACCTACATCCTAGATAAAATAAATCACTATAGTTACTAATTCTTTTACAGGCATTTCCATCAGAACAATCGAAAGAATAACAAGCGAGCCAAAATGTTCTTTGAAAATTACCGGCAGAGTCCAGTTTTCCAGTCCAGACAAAAAACTAGTCAGTAGATCAATCATAGATGTGCCGGAATGCCAAATGAGCGACATTCGCAGAATAATTTACGATTTTTATAAACCAGAATAACGTCGGGTTACGGTAAAAAAATTAAAACAAAAAATTCACAACGATTTGGATATCACAATTTCACCAACATCTTTAAGGCGACTTCTACGCAAAATGCAATTTCGTTGGAGGAAAACCGAAAAGTGCTTGTAGAAAAAAGTGCAATTGAGTTTGAGATGCAAGTGCTTTGAGAATAAAATATCTCAGGCAAATCAAATATTTTCGGAGTCAAAATAGGCCAATCGTGTATGTTGACGAGACCTACTTACACAGCGGTCATACTTCTTCAAAGAACTGGACTGACGAATCAACCAAGGGGTTATTTTCAAATATTTTCAAAGGTCAACGACTAATAATAGTGCGTGCCGGTGGGGATATGGGATTCATACAAAATGGCTTATTAATCTTTAAATCAGGTTTAAAATCAGGGGATTACCACTCTGAAATGAATTCAGACAACTATGGAAAGTGGTTACAAGAACATTTATTACCTAATTTACCTGCTAACTCGGTATTAGTTTTTGATAACGCACCTTATCACAGCATTTAGTTGTACTACTATACAACAGAGCCGCAGGCTGCCTAAACGAAACAATATGGAGAAATAAATAAAAATATTGGGAAAGAAACGAAAGGCAGAATTTACAAAACAGTCATCAGACCAATAATGACATACGCGGCAGAAACAAGACCTGACACAGAGAGAACAAAAAGCATGTTAGAAACAGCAGAGATGAAAACACTTAGAAAAATTGATGGTAAGACACTATGGGACAGAGCTAGAAGTACAGATATACGACATATATGCAAGGTGGAGAACATCAAAAACTGGGTACGAAATAGAAGAGAAATACGGCAAGAGACGGTTCCCCAATAGGAAGACCACGCAAACGATGGAATGACAACATACTGAAGGCACATTGAACAACAGACAGAGTCATGTCTATATAAAAAGAAGAAGAAGAAAAGCTTTTATCGACTTGTGACACGATGTATTGTCTTAATGAAACAACATTTTTTTATAAATAAATAAGATCTTTTCTTTGCTATTTCGGCCTTCAAACTCTCCAATACACCAATATAGAAATTGCTGTTGATTGTTTCTCCTTGTTTAAAATATCCAATGAAAATAATTCCTTGCGGGTGCCAAAATAGATATTACCTTTCCGGTAGTTTGTTGCGTCTGATCGCTTTGGACGGCATTCCACCGGGTGCTGTCCACAACAGATTCTTGTTTGGTTTGTTTCATTCGCAATATGACAAGCATTTAAATGTATTTGATATAACAAGCTAAAAGAATACAAACAATCTGTAGTTTTTGTATTTTCACCACAGGATAATCGTGACTACTTAATATCGTATTGATAAACTGACACAGTGATAGGCCATCTTCTCATTCTTGCAGCCGCTGAAATTGGAATTCCTTTATTTTTGCCAAATATAATCTGTAATGGCTGATGATTCATAATCAGCGTAAATTTGCAACCATAAAGATATTTATGACATTTATTAAGAGCAAACATAATAGCGAGTGCTTCCCTTTCCAAATTACTATATTTTTTCCGTATTAGATAGTGTACTTGATACAAACATGAGAGATTTCTCTATATGACCAATTTTATGACTTAAGACACAACCACAGGAACACACATTCCTTAACACCGGAATAAAGAAAGCTGAGCAACTATTTAGAATAGCTCGAGACAGAGACAATTTCGCCATGTTAATCGCCAACGTCAAGGGGACTTGATAGGGCACGTTAAGAAGAAGAAGACACAACCAATACCATAACTACTTGCTCCACATGTAACATAAATTGAAAGAGACGGATCGTAATGTGTAATGACACTTTTAGATGTTAATCACTTCTTACTTTCTTGAAATACTTTTATCACCTTCAGGTGACTAGCGATTATTAAAACCAATATTATTTTGACACAGTTCATATAGTGTTTTTAATTTGGTAGACAACATCGGAATAAACTTTCCGTGGTAATTTAGCAAACTTAAATATGACTTGCATTTTTTTGGTGTTGGAGCTAAATTAATTGCTACCATCTTTTTCTTCAACAGGATGTATTCCCTTGGCATCTATAATATGACCCAAAAATTCTACTTTAGTTTCGAAAAACTTACCCTGACCTAAATGCTGTCCATCGTCGACTGGAAATACTGAAATACCTGGTGCTGAGCTGATACCATATGTTAGTTTAGTGAAGGCAAACAAGCCTATATGGGTGTTTATTACTAACATTTTTTGTGTATTTTTACTGACCTTTAGCTGCTGATGATGAGCACCAGTTAAATATCTAGAACACTAAAATATTTATGTCCTCTTAAACATACGAAAATATTTTCTGATAATGGTAAAGTGCT